AACACTAGTAAAACACAGGTAATAGTGCTAGGTAGCCCTTTGTTTGTTTTGAGAATTCTGTTATTCCTTATAGTAAGGTTATAAAAAATCTAGGGGTTCTAATTGACAGTACAATGTCTTGGGCACCTCAAATTGAACAAATAAGCAAGAAAATGTTTGCAGTTTGTGGAAGTCTTAAGAGACTCCGAAATTTCCTGCCCATTTCTACCAAAATTGCGTTAGCACATTCCGTTTTGTTACCTATTTTAGACTATGCTGACATATGCTACACTGATATTACCATGGAGCAATTAAACAAGCTTGAGCGTCCTCAGAATATATCCATTCGATTCATATTTGGTTTACGCAAATATGATCATGTATCCCAATTTCGAAATCAACTCTAGTGGTTCCCTATTCGCCTTCGCCGGAATGTTCATATACTCTTTTTACTTTTTAGTGTACTGTTTGATCCGAAATCTCCAAGATACCTTAAGGAACAATTTCGCTATTGACATGAATTTCATAACCGCAATTTACGTTCAGTGTATAGCTTGGCTTTAAATACTCCTTACAACGTAACTTCATTTTATAATAAATCATTTACTTCACTAGCAACGCGACTTTGGAATTCATTAACACTTAACATTCAGAAATCGCAATCTCTACAGTCTTTTAAAAAAATACTTAATGATTATTATATGAAGTTCCAGTCATAATAATAAATTATGTGTATTTCCTCTTTTCATAAATATTTGATTTTTTTTTGTTAAATTTTCTCTGCAGTATATATTTGAATATATTAAATTAAAATTATTGTACATATATATGTAAATATGTATGTATATATCTATGTATGGGTATATATATATATATTAAATGTATGATTATATATATAATACCATTAAATATTGTATGTATTATTAATATATTTTTATAAATATTATTTTTAATAATTTTTTTTCCAGTTTATTTCATATTGCACTTTGCACATATCCGTCAAAATATAAAATTATAATGTCCTTGTGTGTCCAAAGTGCTGACGAAGATACATAATAATATTGTCATTATTTTTATATATGTTATCTAAGTGAAAGATTTAATTTTGTGTTTTATCTATTTTTTAAAGTAAACTGTGGTCGTATGCATACACAAATAATCGATATATTTTTTTCTTTTTCATTTTTTACTTGTTGTAGATATATTTTTAAAAAAATTCTGTTCTATATAATTACGGATAGTCAGCTCTATAGATGATTTGTATTTTTGGTGTGAAAAAGTTTGATAATTCTAATCTCAACATTCGATAAACAAAACTTTATTAACTACAAACAAGAAGCAGTTTTGTTGACAATTTATTGGATGACGGTTAAACGAAAGTGAGATTTATTTTAATGGTGAAAGAGCTGAAAATATACTGTTATAACAACGTGGAATTGCGCGAAGGCCTCATCTGGTTGAGATTGCGATAAGTCCTATGCAAACGTCGTCAAACCGAATTTACGTAATTTCGACAAACGGGCGTTTAACCTTATAGCCTATCAAAAGTTTACTGCGGAACATTGGCCTCCTCTATACAGTTTATTTCTCATAGCATGCCGAATTTTAAACTTAAGTTTTACTTTTCTACAGTTTTTGAAAATATGAGTAAATGAGGCTTTTTATTTTAATTGAAATAATGCCAAATTAAATGTGATTAATGGGCAACAACGTTTTTACTGATCGACCCTTCCGAATGTTTGCGTGCGCACTTAAATCATTTAAAATAATGCATTACCACGCATTTTAATTTTAAAACGTAATAAGAACAGAATGATTGAGATATATTTTTTCTTCAGCATTCGCCTATAATACTTATTCTGATCCTACTCTGCAAATTTGGTCAAAAAAAAATATTGTAAAGTAACCCTGTAGATTGCCTCTTAGAGAGTCAGGATATTTGCCATAGTTTTCATACTTGACAGGCGGATTGTAGCCGCAGTTTTTAATTATTTTGTTGTTATTATGAAGACATTGCTGCCAATCTCCTGGTTTCTTTCATTCGATCAACATTTACGACTCTCAAGTGATGATGATGATGAACAAAAATATTCAAACAATTCTGTCTTATAATTCATAATCATAAATAAATACTCAAGCCTATTTTAATATAATATGATTGAAATGTTCAGTCGTATGAATGAATACTCTATATTAAAATTAATAAATATTCAAGCCTATTTTATATATCGTCTCTATAAAATAAAAAAGTTCTTAAGTTAAAAGCTAATAAAATATAATCAGAATTTGCATGCCACAGCGCTACGAATCGTAGTTCAACAGTACGACAGTATAATAAGCCAGGCATAGCCCTCTGCACTTCACTAATCCCGGCAAAGCTGTTTTTAGAGGTCCCCGTCACGCACAAAGCACATTAAAGGATTATCCCAAGAAATAAAACAGTAGTTTCAGAATATGATTTAAAAGAATATGAGGCTGTAGTACTTTATTAAGGATTGTGGTATTTTAAAATATATTATAGACAGTAAAAGCAGGTCTTAAGCTGAACCTTTTCAAAATTCTGTCATATCTATACGTACATAATATAAATAAAATAGAAGTGTTTGTCTATAATATTGAAATAAATGTTAATTTAAAGAAATATTAAAATAAAGTTAGAGACCAGGATTTGTTCCCCGTTCGAGATGATCGCTGTGCATAAGTAGAATTAATGGAAATTAATTGCATAAGTATTGTCTTATATAAGTTTGATATTTTTTGTATGAAAACAAATGCCTATTTTCTATGATTGGTTTATGAAAACATTCACTTATATTGTTTGATAAGAAACATGATAACTGATAAGAATCTGATTAGAGGTAGTTTTCGGCGTTTGAGAATTGAGTAGAATCATTTCACCTAGTATTGTTGATATTAGTGTATACTAAACTTTCCATTTTTACTGATTGTCGATATCCGTGCAAAAGTTAGTTGTTCAAATAGTGTGAGTTCATAGACGCACGCTAGCCACGTACTTAGGAGGCCAAGCCACCATCCATCTCTCCGGACTGACGTAGACACGACTCGGCCCAATATGAGCAAGGAGGTGAGGAGTCCTACAGCTGGGGCTCAACAACGTACGCAACCCTAGCTGCATCAGCCGGAAAATCATCACCAGTACAAACTATCAACCCGTCCGGACTAGCTCACGACGATGGACAGCGGCCGTCAACGAGCTATGCCCACATGGCTGCGGCCCCTGCAGTACCACGACCGCAATCGGCGGAGGAGTCTCAAAAGACAGAGAAGGCGAAGGAGAAGTCCAGATATCCGCCGATTGTTGCAGAATGCCTCCCGGATTGGACTAGGCATTTCAAGGTCCTCAACGAGAAGTTGGGCCACCCGCCTAATGTCCGTCCATTCGGGAAAGGAGTTAGATTTTCTCCGCAGAGTCCGGATGAGTTCCGTACCATCCAGAAGTACATGGTTGAGCTCTCCGAGAAAGATAAAACCATGTCGTGGTATTGCTATACCCCGGCAGAGGAGAAGCCCACTAAAGTGGGCATCCGGGGCCTGCCAGTGGGCACTGATCCCAAGATGATGGAGGAGGCTATCCGGGCTTCCCGATAAACTATGTCAAGGCCATACCACCACGTAGAGGCAGACCGGGCTGCCTCTACTATGCACAGCTGGAGCATCTGAGCCTGGAACAGCTTCAGCAACTATACCACATCGACGAGCTCCTCTTTATGAGGGGAGTCGTCATCGAAGCCTGGCAGAGTAAGACCGGACCGGCACAATGTCACCGTTGCCAGGCTTTCGGACATGCCTCCGCAAACTGTTTCAACCCAGTGAAATGCGTTCGCTGTGCTGGAGAACATATTGCCAGCCTTTGCCCAAGGGGTAGAGAGGAGGAGCCAAAGTGCGCAAATTGCGCCAAGAATCATACGGCCAACGATCGCCGCTGCCCGGTCCTGAGGAGGATTGCCAGGAAGCAGGGGATCGTCTTACCTGGGCTACTCCCGGAGAACCCTAAGAGGATCCCCCAGAGTCGCCCAAAGGCCGTCACCATACAGGAGGACGGGTGGGCAACCATCACCAGAGGTAAGGGTAGGCAACCAGCCCCCCCACCCCCACCTGCAGCACCAATAGAAACGGTTGGTCCCACAGACCAAAGGGCAACCACCGGGGTGACTCTCCGACCTCCTGCCAATGACGCCACTGAGAGGCAACCCTCCCAGAGGAAGAGGCGGAGGAATAGGAGCAGGAGAACGGAACAGCCTCCTCCTCAGGCTGTGACTACCTCTACCCCCACAACCACAGGACCAATAGCCTCGCAGGCGCAGGTTGCTGTAAGAACACCAGCACCGTCCACGACAGGTAGAGCGCCAGGAAAGGCTCTACCAGAAAGTAGAGCCCACTCCACACACAGAGCGCGCTCTACCCTAAGAAAGACCTCAATCAACGCCCCGAGACCAGTGCCTTCGCAGCGTAGTTCAGAACGCAGACCACCAGCGCCCGGCTTCGAGACGGCTGATGCCATCCACAGATTGGTAGGCATAGCCATCGAAGTCAGTACACAAGTCCTGGCCGACATAAGGGCCGGGACAGACCCGTTACCGCCGTCATGAAGGCACTAGCATCGCTACTGGCAAGGCACTACGGAGGATAGCAACCTGCGTCTGCTTTACTGGAACCCGGACGGGATTCGCCAAAGGATCCATGAACTCCGCACTGTCACCCAGCAACAGGACATTCAGGTGATCTTGCTGGGTGAAACCAAATTAAGACCTACAACGCATCTTAAGCTGCCTAACTACACCATCTACAGGAGGGACGAGGTCGATCCTCAAGGGGTCGCTTATAGAGGGACAGCGATCCTGGTGAGGAGAGACATCGTCCACCAGGAACTGGACCTGCCAGACTTCCAGACGATGCGTTCAATCGGCATAAAATTGGAAGCGGCGGGCGAGGAACTAAGGATCTTTGCAGCATACCGCCCGCCAGGGACTCCATTTCACTCCTCAGACATCCGGACGGTAATGGAAGGTACGGCACCCACCATCATCGCCGGGGACCTGAACGCCAAACACCGGCGTGGGGGTCCAGAGTGATCTCCCCGCCGGGTCGTGAACTCTACTAAGATGCGGAAAACAATGATTATGACGTTCTAGGTCCCGAGGAACAGACGCACATTCCTAGCGACCATAGGAAGCGTCCGGATGTATTGGACATCGTGCTCACTAGGAACGTCAACTATCCAGTAGTGGTAGAAGTGCTGTATGACGTGAATACACAGCACCTCCCGATTCTGATAACTCTTGGCACTAAGGCAGTGACTTCACCGCCCAGAGCCGTCAAGACCAAGATCGACTGGAGGCTCTACCACCAACACCTGCAGGAGAGACCTCCAGTCCATACGCCGATCAACTCAGCGGACGACGTAGAGGCCGCTGCAACTAGAATATCCACGTGCATCCAGGAGGCCCTCAACGCGGCCTCTACGATCGTCCCTCTCACGGGGAGAAAAGAGGAGCTGCCGTTAAGACTACGCGTGCAGCTCAACCATAAAAGAGCGCTGAGAAAGCTCTGGGCGCGTACTCGCTGCCCTAGAGTAAAAAGGAGACTCAACACCCTGTCAGACGAACTTTCGGTTGCAATACAGGCCCACAGAGGAGAGGCCTGGGAGCGGCGCATATGGAAGGCTGATGAACAGCACGCGTCGCTCTACAATTGAACCGGCAGTTAACGAAAACTCGACCACCTGTTTGCCCGCTGACCAACAATGCGGGCATTCAACGTTACGATGCCAAGGGCAGAGCGGATATCCTAGCTGAGCACTTCGAGGAGCAGTTTATGCCGAACCCAGCAAGTGCGGAGTTCCTGGAATCCCATTCACGGAAGGAGAGCCGCGAGCAGGAGCTCCTGTCGTCGCCCGCGCCACCGCTTTGAGAGAGTGGAGAGTGGTTTATCTCCCCCCGCCGAACTGCGGAGGACAGTAACCCGCCTGCAACCGAGGAAGGCGCCGGGGCACGACGGGATTACCAACGCTGCACTACGACAGCTGCCCAATAGAGTCCTTGTAGAGATAGGTCGGCTCTACAACGGAATATTGCGGACATCCCACTTCCCGGAGGACTGGAAGAAAGGCAAAGTCATCGTCTTGCCGAAACCCGGACAGGCGTAGAGCTGCCAACTACAGGCCGATCACGCTACTACCGCATATAGCTAAACTGTGCGAAAGATTACTGTTGAGACGTCTCCGCCCGTGCATCTAACTTCGGGCGGAGCAACATGGATTCAGGAGGGGTCACTCCACAACAACACAGCTGACCAGAGTGCTGCACCTGCTTGCGGCCGAACACAACCGTGGCCGCATATCGTTGGGCGTCTTTCTCGATATCGAGAAGGCGTTCGACCGGGTGTGGCACACAGGATTACTCTATAAATTAGATGTGCAAACAAGTATCCCTCCTGCTATATTGCGGCTAGTGGCGTCTTTCCTGGAAGGCAGGAAGTTCTACGTCTGCATAGAGGACGCCGAGTCCGCAATAAAGACCATAACAGCTGGTGTGCCACAGGGCAGCTGTCTATCTCCAGCCCTGTACGCGGCGTACACTAATGACATACCTACCCTGGCAGGACACTTGCACGAATGGGAGGACGACGTCGAACTAGCGCTATTTGCGGATGACAGCGCATACTTCACGTCGTCCAGAAGAGCCCACATAGCAGCTGCCAGGATGCAACGTCTGCTGGACCTGCTGCCTCCATGGTTGGATGAGTGGAGGATGGCCGTCAATGTTAGCAAGACGACCGCTCTACTCACTCGCCGCTATAGAAATCTACCGCCACCGCTAACCCTCGGAGGCCAGGAGATCGCATATGAGAAGGCCATGACCTACCTTGGATGTCGGATTGACAGGATGTTGCGTATGACTGCGCACGTTGAATCTGCTATACGCAAAGCTCGATGTGCGCGGGCAATGCTCCGCCCTGTCCTGACATCCAAGTTACCGACAAAGTCGAAGTTAACTATCTATAAAACCTATATAAGACCCCTGCTAACATAAGCTGCTCCGGCCTGGTATGCGCTCCTGAGCGATCGTCAGAAGCAGGGACTTCAGGCCCAGCAGAGTTTGTCATTACGAACTATAGTCGGTGCGGGTCGCTACGTCCGTAATGACGTCATAGCGGCCAACCTTAAGATGGAGAGCCTGCATGAATTCGTGGTCCGGCTGGCGCGCGGTATGTTCGACCGCGCCGACAACGGGCCACATGAACACCTCAACGGCTTCGCGCCGTTGCACTCTCAGCCGCCGGACGGGCGACCCTATCCAAGAGAACTCCTCCCTATATAGATTAGGGAGTCTGAGTAAACCCCACAATGCCGCAGAAAGGCCAACTCCGACAAGTAATTCGTGTTAAACACAAATTACGAGATAACCTACTCTAATAAAAAATTTAACCGACCGCGACAATAGTCGCTAAAACAACGCCTTTACCATCAAGGCACCCAGGACCGGCACACTGTAGTGTGCCGTGAGGAACATCCGGGTAAAGGGGTACACCCCGAGGCCCGAGACCTGCACGGCACTATGCCCTGCAGAGGACAACAACGATTGCAAATCGTTCGGGAAAGTTCGGGAAAAGTGCAAGACCAGCAGTCAATAAGAAGAAGAAAGAAAAAGTATAAGGAAGTGATAGGGAAAAGTAATTACTCTCTCACGGAACGGTTTGAAGATAATTGCTGTTTTATTCCCAAGGAATTCTCCCCTTAAAGTGATACAGTCAATATCGAAGAATTAAGGCGTTGGGACCGGGACGACTTCGGAAGACCCGTAATCCCCGCCTGAACCTATTTTCTGAAAAGGAAGAGGTTACCGCCCTTGTGTGTTACTCCGTTGCGGAGATCACATACGTTGTTCCCGAACCCAACGTAGGCGTTATAGGAGGCCGGATCGAGAGAAGCCTCGATTCCTCCCTTCTGTTTCTTAGTTAACGTTTGTCTGGTTCCTTTTCAATGACCAAACCACCGAAGCATTCCCTTCTTAATCCTGGTCACTGCATCATCTTGCAAACCACACTCTTCTTTTATCGCACAGTTTCTCACCCTGTCACTCAGATTCAGTCCTAACATACTCCTTAGCGACCGCATTTCTACTGCATTTATTCTACTCTCGTGCTTCTTCTGCCACACCCAACTTTCACTACCATATGTTAAAGTAGGGACTAATACAGCATTGTGAATTGCCATACGTGCCTTTTTTGACACATTCTGACTTTTCACAATAGAGTGTAGAGCCCCATTTACTTTATTTCCTGGATTCACTCGTCGTTCAATATCCTTATCATATCTCCCATCCCTGCTGAATACACATCCCAAATATACGAACTCATCCACTTGCTCAATTAACTCTCCTTCTATTCTTATTTCACATACCGTTTTGCTTTCTTCTCTTTCAAAAACCATCACTTTCGTCTTACTTGCGTTCACTTTTATTCCCCTTTCTTTTAATGACCTGTTCATTAATGTAATCATCATTTGCAACTCGGCCGCCGACGATGCAAGTATGACTTGATCATCGGCGTACAAAAGGCATTTGATGGTTAACTCACCCATTCTTAACCCGCATTCATCAACTTTCAAATTTTCCAAACAACTGTCCATAAATAGGTTGAACAACCACGGGGAAGGTACACAGCCCTGTCTGACAGATTTTTTTAGGAGAGAATACTGCCCACCATAAGGAGGGTGGTGCTCCGACCGATCTTTCACACCTTTATGGATGCCAAACCAGTCCGAGTAGACCCGTTGATTCTAACACAAGCACTCGAGTCCCAATACAGAGACTTTAATGCCTGTATTAAACCAGCGCTCAACCTAAATGTGTTCAGCGTTTGCCATAACACATCCCTGTCCACTCTGTCATAAGCCTTTTCCAAGTCCATGAACGCACAAAAAACTTTTTGGTTTTTCGCCAAAAACTTCTCCGCGATCATGCGTATGGAAAAGATTTGATCTGTCCCAAATTTTTTCATCAGTTTCTTTCATAACTCTTTCAATTAGTACCTTAGCATACAGTTTCCCACAATGCTAAGAAGGCTGATACCACGGTAGTTTTTACAATACGAGGGTGGATTGAAAAGTACTCGGCTTAACCAAGAAAATAAACACGTACTAAATCAGTTATATTTTTATTTTTCTACATAATCACCATCAAGTTCAATACACTTTTGCTACCTCCCCTTCCAAGCCTTTAGACCGTTGAAAAAAAATGATTCTTCCTTAGAGTCAAAATATGCGCCTACAGCTGCTTTGACCTCGTCGTTTGTAGAAAATCTTTGACCTCCCAAGTGCTTTTTTAGGTTAGGGAACAGAAAGAAGTCTGATGATGCCAGATCAGGTGAATACGGCGGATGCGGTAACAGTTCAAAGCCACAGTTGTGAATTTCAGCCATTGACTGTACTGACGTGTGATCACGGGCGTTATCTTGATGAAACAGGACTTTTCTTCTGAGCATTCCTCGACGTTTTTCTTTTATTTTCTCTCGTAAACGACGTAGTAAGGTGCAGTAGTAATCGGAGTTTATAGTCTGACCCCTTTCAAGATAATCAATCATAATCACACCTTTCGAGTCCCAGAATACTGAAGCCATCATCTTATTTGCAGACAAAATCGACTTAGCCTTTTTAGGGGGTGGTGAACCAGGTCTTCTCCACTGTTTTGATTGTTGTTTTGTTTCCGGTGTACAGTAATGAACCCATGTTTCGTCCATAGTAACAAAACGATTCAAAAAATCATCTGCATCGGCTTCAAATAACTCCAAACAGTCGTGTGAAATAGTCAATCGCGTTTTTTGTTCAACTGAAAGCAGTCGCGGAACCCACCTCGCAGACACCTTGTGGAAACCCAACTCGTTGACAATGATGTTTTGAGTTCGTTCATAAGAGATGCCTATAATCTCGGCTATCTCTCTAATTTTTAATCTGCGGTCTCCCATTATTAAATCATGTACTTTTTTAATATTTTCGTCAGTAGTTGACGTCGAAGGCCTTCCAGAGCGGGGTTCATCTTTCACACTCTCTCTACCACGCTTAAATTCTGCTATCCATTTTTTGACGGATGAATATGACAGAGCACAATCGCCTAATGTACTGACCATGTCATCATGGATGGCTTTTGATGATGGCCCCTTCTTATGGAGGTACTTAATGACGGCACGCTGCTCGATTTGCTCCATTCGCGGAAATTATGTCCGATTATTTTGTTAATAAATTTATAAAATCACAACTAATTATCGCACACGTTTCGAACTTCACACAATGAACTAGTCTGAACTGAACTAAATAATGTTCGTAGATTTGATTTTTAGAATTGAATGGATCTGTGTTAGGCCGAGAACTTTTCAATCCACCCTCGTACTTCCGTAACCCTTTTCCCTTATATATTGGGACGATCACGGCTTTGCACCAGTCTCCCGGTACCCGCTTTAGTTCCCAAATTAAATTAAACAAGGTGTACAGCAGGCCTGCCACCACGTCCTCTCCAGCCCTTAGCATTTCGAGTGAAATTCTATCATATACGGCTGCCTTACCTATTTTCATGCTTTTCATTGCTTTCATTATTTCATCCGTTTGAGCCGACCCATTCGTGCTACAAATATAATATAGCTGAAGCGTAGCTCTACCACGTAAATCTGGTCGTGTCAGATGACCGTCCCATTGGACTATGAAAGTGAGAGAATAGAGAGAGTGCACCTGTGCTTGCGTATACATTCGGGCACTGTTATTGTGTCCTGCGCAGATGGAAAGTTTCCATGCGGACTGGACGCTTTAACCAAATTCGGACTAGAGAACATTAAAAGTTAGTCAATCCAATAATAAATTTGCTATAGAAATTAGAATTCCTAATGTAAAATTTCCGAAAAACGAAAGTACATCGCATCAATAGATATTGTCAACAGTAAATCACTTCCGACGCTTTCTCGAATGAGTTGCACAACTTGTACAACTTATGTAAATGATTTCTTCGCTCTGCTTGAATACATTCGTAAGTAGTAGTAACTAGATAACGGAGCTCGATCGCCAGCGACAAATGCTTGGGGTAAAGGAAATCATTGTGAGGAGGAATGCGTGTACGAAAAACTGAAACAGCTACACGAACTACAGCTAGCTGAACAACATGTTACGAAAACCCTGTGGTTTTCGTTAAGTGTGTAATCAGAATCAGTATTTAAATGTATAGAAATAATTTTGCTTCAGAAAATTCGACCATATTTTTTAAATAAAATTTTATTTTCAAATTGTATGAGCTTTTATGACCTCTACCTGAAATTTGCATCGATAAGGCATAGTCTTTAACAATGGTCTTACTCCCCGGCCAGTACAGAGATAGTAAAACCACATCCAACGTGCAAATAAAAATTTATTTAAATTTAATTTATTTTTACGGTCATGTTATTTCTATACATTTGAATACTGATTCTGATAACGCACTTAACGGATATAACAGGGTTTTTGCTACAAGTTGTATAGGCTACTTTACTTAATCTTTTATAACAAGCATCTTTTTATTTTTTTTTTGGATGTTTACATATTATGTAGTAGTTAGTAAAATTGATGTATGGTTTGTAATTTGTAATTCGTCATTACTCCATGTATCGACCATGAGTAATCTGAATTGAATATGGACTGATTATATTGTTACAAGACCGACAACGGTAAATTGTGTTTAACTACTGAAATAACAACCAGATCGGAAATTAAAAAAAGATACCCGTGAAAGGCGAGTGTTAAATGAAGTATGGGACACAGGAAATATGTAGTATTCAAAAGCAGCAGAGAAATAGTCTTCCTAATAAGATTTTAATTTACCTATTTAAACTAAATTCTAACTGGTAACATCGAACCTATTCCTCAGACCAGATGAGAAGGAATTTTTGAAAAAAAAAACAAAGAATAAGGGTAATAAACGAGCACAAAATCCACCTGATAGTAAGTGGATGCTGCGGACCATAGACATCTACAATAATGTCACCTTTGAGGACTAACATGGAATGCCTCGTTTCCAGTAAACATCTTGTATGCAATAGTTTCACTAGATCAGATGATAAAGCAGGAGCACAATGTTACGTTAATCGTACTGACTTAGAAGTTTATATATCTCTGTGACTAAACGTTGTATATATGCGACATCTAACGGCGATACTACAAAATCAATATAACAAAAAGAAAGTAACGAATGTCACAAAATTTAAAAAAGAAACTAGCGTTGTATTCAAAGATTTATTAGCGACATCTCTTAAATAAATGTTTTCATTAACCAATAACTATAAAAGCAGTCCTGTTATACGACAC